GACGTCTCTGAATTTGAGAAATAGCAAAGACCAAAGAAGAAGGTCAGGCTATAGCATGAAGAACTTCAGAGTTCGAACAAGGATGATGAAGCAAAAATCAGATAAAAGCAGAAGCAGCAATGGGCAACAGCCCCAAAGTAATTCAGCAAGAGACAGAGAACTGAGAACTACCCTGATCAAGCACCAACTCAAGAATTCATAGACGTAGGTCTACAAACAAAATATCGTAACCGACCTCTATCGCAGAGTGCTCTCAAAGTTGGCAAGGATTACAACAAGTTCAGCCAGAATTATACTGCGATGGAGATTTCAGCGGACACCCCTATGACTTATGAATCACATGATGAAGAACCAGAGTGAGAAAGAGGTTGATGCAGCAGAAATTTCTCGAGAACGAGATGGGCCACCAAGATTAAGTTCCACCATTATATTGCAATAATATATTTTATTAAAATATTCTGATAAAAAAATTAAAATCACCATTCTATCTAGTTTATAGAAATGTAATCATTGCAATTTTTAGATTTAACTTATAATTTATGGCAGTAATGCAATTCTCTGTTCGTTTGTCATTGAATTCAAGACGTTACTCAAATTTTCTGCTACCATTTAGTCTTTGTATATTATGTAGTTCAAATAAAAGTAGGTGAATATTCCCATAAGTCCATGACAGTCGAATCTATCTGTCAGTCCACCATGACCAGGTATTGCATTGCCGAAGTCCTATATTTTTAATTAATTTCAAAGTTTTACTAAATAAAATATACCTTAATATTCAAGGCTCTCTTTACACCTGAAGCAAAAAATCCACCAAAAGGAGCGATTAGAGAGGCATACGTCGCAATTACTAATGAGTCAAATTAAAGTCTAGTTAAATGTATTTAAATTCCAGCCATTTCAAGGGAAATTATTCTAGAGTATTATTCTAATTCCACATTGGAGCAGGCTACCTCAGCAAAGGGTCTGATCCTTATTTCATTCATCGAACACAACATTTGTTATGATCCCTGTAAATAAATAGGCAGCTATACAAGAATTATTATTATACTTCTACCTCAAAGCATAAACTATGAAATTTACTTACAATAAAAGCCATAATGTAGGTACAAATAAGACCTCCAATAAATCCCTCCCATGTTTTCTTAGGAGAAATCTTAATCAATGGGGTTCTGCCAAAAATTTATCCTAATGTGTATGAGAACACATCATTTGTGACGACGCAAATATGTGGAAATAGTAGCCAGTAAAGGCCTTTGTAAATATTTGATGAAGCAAAACTAGGAATAAAGACTACAAATAAGGCACCCAATAGATTCATTGTTAGCTTTTCCACTTGATACTAGCACTTATCTAATTCAAGTGAAAAGACAAATAATACAAGTGCAATAAGAAACAGACAGAAGAGAATGAAAGAATGGTATTAGAAGAGAATTAAATGAAAGAACGAGTCAGGCAGAATAAAACTCTCGACAAGTTTTGGTTTTAGGTAATTCATGGGCAATACGTAATATATCATCATTCCATAGATGTACCAATCCATAAATTTGCCAAAAAGGTTAGTGCGCTACTTCGATTCGCTAAGAGTTATAATCTCTTTGTAGCAAATAGATGATAGGATTAGAGTAGTGATCGAGTTATAGAAATGCCCCAGGTTTAAAAGTACTATCCATGCAATCATCATTAGTTGAGTTGTAATAAACCTAGTCTTAAAGACCTGAATTTTTTGGGATCTTAGATCTTCCTTAGACAGGGTTTGAATTTTAATATTTTCATAAAATGTCTACTTTGATTCTTAGGGCTATTATTAATCTAGATTAAGCTGTCGAGATTCTTCTATTTATTTTGTACTTTCACTATTTTTTGAATCACTAGAGTTATTATGTGAGCTCAGGAGTTTCTC